TCCTGTCCCCACCCTTCACTGGTCGTACTAGGTCACTTTTCCTAAAAGCCCCAGGGAGCTTTAAATCTTCCTTTCTAAAGTATGTATGGAGCCTGCCTCCACCCCCTCACTTTTCAGACTATTTCATTTTTTTTGCCCGGGTCTATGATCACCTTTCCCTTTGTAACTCTCTAAAGTTTTTGGAAGTCCAATTGGGGCCCTTTTTGGGTTGCTGGTCCCATTCGGGAACATTCTGTCTCTGTCCCCTTTCAATTTCCTACCCATTTTTTTAAAAAAGTCGTTATAAAGTCTTCCTTTTCCCCTCCCTGTCCTCCAGTTTTGTCATTTCCTTAACCTCTCCTCTTTGGACATTTCCCCTCATTTTCCGTGACTAATTTTCGTTGCAAATTTTTTTCCCCAACTTTCTTAATTTTCCTACGTGTTTGGGCCCCAGGTGGGGGTTTCCCCAAAAATGGTTGGCCGAATACTCCAAATGGGCCCTGACGAAACCGGGTTTTGTCCCAAAGCCCTAAAACCAATTCCTTAATGAGTGGTCCAGAGTCCCTTGGTTCCCTTTGGTGTTCTAGGGCCTTTTATGCTGCAGCATTTAATTTGCCTGATGTGGCCCCTTTCAGGGTGTGTGCTCGGTTTTATACACACCGAAGATTCTTTTCCTTGAGTAAAGCTTGTAGCTTTGGGCCCCCCCCTAGACTTTTATCTGCAGTTTTTCTTTGTTTTTCCCCCCGGTTTCATGACTTTGAAAATTTGGGGGTGTGGTTGAACTCCAAGGGGCCATTTTGGGCTGGACCAGAACCTGCACCCTGCCCCGACCCCTTTTGTAGTATGCCGGGGCCCCTTCTCCGTTTTAAATTTCTCCTCAAAAAATTTTTACCGTCTGGACCCAGAGACATTCTGAGTCAACCTTTTTCCCGTCATGTCATTTTCATATTTATACCAGAAACAGCACCGGTCTTAGGACTGACACCCGGGGGGAAACCCCCACTTTTCACAGGCGCCCACTGTGACCATCGCACGTCCCATGACTAATTGATCCCTTTCCCGTCGGGTTTATTCCCAAATCTATTGCAGTGTTTCCCTTTTTATACCTGCCGGGTTTCCTCCTAGTTTTTTGCCCCTGATCTCTTGTGTGGGATGTGAAAAAGCCTTTATTACGCCCCAAGAAAACGCAGCAAATTACCCCTCCCCCTTCATGTCTTATTTGAAAAGCCCAAAACCGTGGGGGTTTGCCTTGAAAAACTTATTTCTTTCTAGATGCCCCAACCACTCTTCTACTGATAATTTTTTCCCAAAATTTTGCATCCATACAGGTCGGGTGCCCCCTAAACTGTAATTTAATGTTCGGTCGGGTCTTTTTTTTTAATTTTTTTGGGGATTCATCGCTGTCTTTCCTTTAACCTCAGGTAGTAGTTTGTTTCGTTTAGTTGTTTTAAAAGATTTTTATAATGGTAAAAAGGGGAGTCCCTTTGCCCCCCTCTCTCAGCCAGGGAGGAGTTTTTTCCAGCTCCACGCCTTTTTGAGGTACGTAGTTCTCTTAACAGCCCTTTTTAAACCTCCTCCTGGGTTTGTATGTATTGTGCCCTAGCATTTGAGGGGTTTTACCCCACCATTTCTTTTCTTTCGGGAGACCTTTTTTTCCCTTTTGAAAATTACTTCTTTAAATCAAAATGTTGAGCTCCTCCATATTTCCCCAAAGTCGTTTCTTGTAAATCTCCCCCCCTTTTCCTTCCTCATCTAAATTAACCTGGTTTGACTTTTTTTTTTCCCCTCCTGATGTAAACTGTAAAAACACCCTTCGGTTTGACTTGGTTTCGTGTTTGGGGTAATTTTTGTTTTGTATTTGGGAAACCTCCCCCCTTTACCGAGCATTTTTCATTCATTTCTGGTTCTTCGACTACTCTCCCTTATTTTTCCCCGGGTTTTCCTTTCCCTTTCTTTTCTTCTTCCTTTTTCTAAAAAACACCGGGTTTTGGCCTCCCCCAACCCTTGGGGAAACCAAAGGGGGCTCGTTGGCCTTCTCTTTATTTTGTTCCCCTTGGGTAAAAATCTTCTCTGTTTCCTTTGCATTTGTTGTCCATTATTCCTTCATCTATTTATGTTTTTCCCCTCCCAAAGTTCTCTGCCCCAAATGAACCTCGTGCGGGAAATTTCCCCTAAAGGCTTTTGTTTCCCCTCTCTCTTGGTTTAAACTTCTTTCTTTCGGGCCCTTCCTTGTTTCCCTCTAAATTTTTAAACTCTACTATACTTTCGAAGTAAAAAAACCTTTGGTTTCACTAGCTTGAGGGGTTTCTTTATATGGGGTTTGTCCCCAATTTCTGTAAAACTCCCAAAAGGTGAAAATAGGTCCATTTCTTCCCTGGTTCGTCCTCCCTCCCTTCTCTGGTAGTTTTCCCAAACGGTTTTTTTATGGGGTTTTTTTCCCCAACACTACCACCACCCAAACTTAGCCCCCTCCACGTTTCTGGGCCCCCATGGGGTTTCCCAAAGGTTTTCCCAGTAAATT